CTATCTCCCTTTGATCTCCTCTCTTGTCCCCGAATGCAGGAAGTGATGTATATGAAGTCACTTCCGCATTCAGAGTCACTCTCCGGTTACAGACACCAGTGAGAAGCTGCTGAAGCAGATCTGTGCTTCATTAGCTTCTCTGGGGGTCCCTAGGTGACATTAGGGGTCTTAGAGACCCCCGATGTCTCCATAAAGGAGGACCTGTCATGTAAATTGGCTATCACATAGGGGGCTTCTTAGCCACCTATGTGATTGCAATAAAGTTGTGTGTGTGTGTGTGTCTCTATCTATCTATCCACATTTTTACTTCTCTATAATAAAAAAACAAAACATTTTTTGCATAAATTCAAAATAAGTTCTTGGACAGCCATATCTATGATGTACCTGATCCTGTGTGAACTCATCTGCCTCCCAGTTACTGCATCGAAGTTGAAAAGACTTGTCCAGAGGGTAACATAAAATAGTCTCAGACAGAGATTTAAGGCTCAGGCTGTTCTGGAAGATGTCTCTCCTACAGACGGGAAAGATACAAACATTCAGTTAAAGCCAACCACCAGGCAAACTGTCCAGCCAGTAACAAAGTAAAAACAGTGAAGCGCCACGGACTGTCAGTTCTTAATAGGACTTGCTTTTAGGCATACTGCAGGATGCTGCCCCAAAGAAGCCGGGAAAGCTGGAAATCTAGGAAATAAGCACAAAGAGGCGCCTTTCCTGGTGCAGATCACTTTTATTTCAATAAACATAAATAGAAAACCGAATCATACTCACAAACATGTGTCACAAAGTCATGAGGTGAGGACTGACAAGCAGTGAGATGTCCACTAGGTGATACCAGTGTAGTGGTGACGTTAACGCGTCACCACTACACCCCTATGCCCCTCTTTGTGCTTATTTCCTAAACTGTCCAGCCAGTTCTGAGAAGTCTACAGCCTTGCCAGCACAGCATATCTAATCCCAAGAGCAGACATTTTGCCAGTATTTGGCTGTGGTAGCTGCATTGGTTTTTTTTTTTTAGGGCTTTAAATCCCCCACCTCCACACACCTGGTGATCCTGCCAGTAACACTGTTCCTTCCTAGGGTGACAACACTCGCTGTACTGTATGAAGAAACAGTGATGTCTCTAGGACAGGACTGCAAAACACCTCTCCTCCATAATATAGGCAGCACATTGGTGTAGTGGTTAGTTCTCCCTGTGCTGAACTAAAACTGAAGAAAGAAGCTGATGTGTTGCCATGAGCAACTGCTTCACTCTGTCTGCTTCAGTTTTGATGAATTCCCCACAATTTATCTACACTTAACAACCTGTCACATGACATTGCACCACTTCTGTCCCATCACCAAATGTCCTTAAAAGAAACTTGTCAAATGCATAGGTTGCCATTGCAAACCTCTCTTCCAGAAAATATTAGTAACCCATAGTATTGATTACATGGATAGGACAGCTGACCTAGGACAAACAGGGGATCAGTTATTTTGGAGTTTGTGCTTCAAAATTGACGTCAGAGAGCCTGATAACTAGCATTTTCAGAGCAACAGCAATGGTAGCCCACATAAACAGTATATCTGATTTATAAAAATGCTATTATTTGAGAATTGCCAAAATTGTATACCTTAGAACTCCACAATAATTCAAAATACTTTTCTGGCCCTGACATGCAAGCAGATGGGAATATCTTGGGTTTTGGCCCATAAAAAGAACACATTTATGATTTCAAGATGAACTGCCTCTAAATAACCAGATCATATTACTGTACAGATGGGAGGAAGAGGTCAACCCAAGTCATGACACTAGAGCCCAAACAAAAACCCCAAAGACCACATGTCCCAGAGAGGTTTGTAGAACAAAGTCATGGGAAAATGTGTGCCAAGAAGTTAAAGTAACCACCTATGTGCCACGGAGGACCTACAAGAAAGGTCTGTCTACCAGGACACCAACATAACTCGTGCCTGCCAATGGAGCTGCTGCCTTTCTGATGAATCCATTCTTGCATTGTCTTTAGCAGAGAAACGCTATTCACGATCTCCACCAATCCCTGCAGGAAGCCTCACCAGCTGATCCCATCCAACTCTCCTTGCAACAATGCAACCTGGCACAGGTCAGGAGGATGCATCAGGGAGGAGGTCCTACACCTGCTTCACAACTCCAGGTCACAAGCACCAGAGAACTTCATGCCCCTAAAGTGCCTGGCTGCTAATCAGTGCAGGCTTTCCCAAACACAGAAAGAGGGTCCAGAACTCTCAGTGCTCAATAAGAGGGAGACCATCCTTCTCTCAACTACAAGCAGCCTCTACTCTCAAGTCAGGTTTTTTTGCCATCCATTGCTTTTGGGAAACAAACTTGAAAATTAAACTTGCTAGTAATATTTAAAACTAAATAATGAAACCCTTACCTCTGTCTCATTGCCAGGTAGCGGATGTCAACAATTCCTTTCACCGACAGGCCATAATCACTCATCAGTTTGGACGCATCTTCCCTACATCCTACTCCAACCTTCAACACATCGCTGTCTGCCAGGAGCGTGAGGAGAGTCTTTGGAATGGTACTGCCTGCATTGACCAGTCGGGGCAAGCGAACCAGGACACAAAAGCCACTGTGGGAAGCCATCTGTAGAAGGGAGATGGGATTTGCTCTCCCATCTACAGACACCTGAACAAAGAGAAAACTTAATTAAAGTTGCCTGTATGAATATAAATCCAGTCAGTCGTAAAATTGTATGCAAAGACAGCACCCAACAAGTCCAAGAAACACGGGATACAGTATCCACTAATAAAAAACTGCCTATAGCCAATCTCAGACTACTAGAAGATATGGTGATGTATCCATCACTGCACCAACTTTTCCTTTAAAAAATTAGAACTATGACGTGAGTGGAAATCACTCATGTCATAGTTCTCCTTTAAAGCATTTCTTTGGCCCAATCTCTAAAAGCAGCCTTGTAGGGTTTTGTGGTATTGAAGATATTATAAAGGTGTGATCTGCACACTGAAGTGTTGTATTAAATATAAAAATTCAAATAATTTGCCAAATTTGCTTGGAGAGAAAAAAAATGCAACAGGAGGAATCTAACCACCAAAACCCAGGCTACTCTAATGCATAACTTCAAATGGTACATACTCTGGTCCATCCCCACATGCCATCATGTGATAGGATGGGCAGCCACACGGCTAAATAGCAATATTAATGGGATAGGCTGCATGAGTGAGGCCGAGGCTGCAAGCACAGAACCTGTATCGCAATTCCATTACAGAGCATCTTGGATTCCAGGGTATCAGAGTACTCAATAGGAAAGGAGGCAGTGTGCAGGCCACGTGATATGCCTGCTATTTAGGTTAAGGTTCTACAACTTTTACCGAGAAGTAGCATGCGTGGTCATCGAACAAACATTACACTGGCTGATGATAGACATACCCACTCACAGTCCATGCCAAGTACCGGGAACACATCAAGATCTTTCTTTAGCACTGGCCAAACAGCTTCCCATTCTTCAGCCTTGGATATTATCTTGACCTCTGCATGTAGGATCTTCTCTACTGCACAAGAGCTGGAGACCACTACCTCTGAAGGCGTCTGAAGATCATTATCTGAGCCGATGGTCTCAGGGCTCAGAACAGCACACGAATTGTTGACATCTCCACTAACACAACACTGTCTTCTTCGGCGATTGAGAAGCTTCCAGAGAACGAGACATCCTACTGTAGTACCCACCAGAGAGGCAACGCCAAGGGTTAGACCTGTGTGTCTGGGCATTCTGATGAAATTCCTGCCTGAGCAGCAGACAAAAAATCAGTTGAAATCACATGGATTTAACATACTTAAAAAAATTTTAAGTGGCTCGCGGCCTTGTGAAGCCACCATTAAGATGCCTTTAAACACAAATGAGGGGACATATCAGGGGTTTTACCTCTCTGCTTTCAATCTATTACTAACAAAAGCCAAGGTGAGGTAGGAGATCCTGCAGAATGCCATCATTTACATTATGTTAAGTGCCCCTTGAAGAGAGCACATACAAATGTAAAGCGAACCATTCGGGATAAAAACATGGCAGCTTCCCTCTACATAAAAACAATGGCACGGTAATTCCCACATGCTTTAGAAGTGGTATCCATGGGTCTCCCACCACAGAGGTGCAAAAGACAAATTTGAACAACTAGGCAACTGCAAGAGATACAATGTTGCTGCACCCCACCAATTAAACCCCCATAATGAAAAACAACCAGGGAGCTCAGCATGGCACATTTGTCAATGGAGTAAAAGGAGGAACAGGTAGAAACTACTGCAGGGAAACCTAACTAGAAAGGTGCCAGAGAATGATGGATGAGGTATCATACAGGGAGGGGGTGCACATCTGTCTCCACACCATGCAGCAGTGGGGGAGCTGGAGGGCTCCATGCAGCAGGGGGGCTCCTTGGACCCATGCAGCGCAAAGGGTGGGCTCCATACCCCATGCAGTGAAGTAAGTGGGAGACACTCCATACCCCATATGCTAATAAATAGCAGAAAGTAGCCTGAAGTATTTTATTACAGGTGATTAATAGATGGGTCAGAACACTTCTTCCTGGTTGCCCCAGAAGACCCTAAAAAAGTAATGGCCACAATTAAGTGTATATGGCCATTTCCCAAATCTGATAGATATTAAGGAAAGTTTTGCAGAGCAACATCATGCAGCTACTAGAATGAGATCATTCCCCCATGTATATGAACTATAGCCGCCACGGCAGATCGCACGGAGCTCCCGGTACAACCCGAACAGCCTCCCCCTATACAGCATAACACTCACCAGCTGACTCCGCGCTCCCCCCCCCCGATCACAGTTTTCAAACACACTCAGCCGCCGCACGCTTCCTTTTCTACCGTGACGTCACCACGCCAGCGCCTCTCTGCTATTCATATATTACTCCTTAACCCTGACGTGTCCGGACTGAGCAGCAACTCTTCCCCTAACACATACAGAGCTGAGGAAGGGTCCTGCTCTTCATTCTGCCTTTCAAGGGGCACCCATAACATTAAACAATACAAAAATATATACTTTTTAAGTGTAACGCCAGCTCCAGCTTTGATAGTCTGTTGTCAGAGGCCTCAGTGGGGAGATTTCCCCTTTCTTCCTGTTCCTGATGACAATGTTGGAAACCAAACAGGAAGTTTGGTAGAATCTCTAAAGGTCCATTTCAATTTGTGGGGTGTGTGAATCCACATGCGTTAACACTTGCTATGTCATGTGTCAACGTGTTGCGTTAAGGCAGCTCATTGAAATCAATGTGATTCTGATGTACTAAAGCGCCCCAAAAATAGGACATCTCACAGAATGTTTGTCACTGCAACACACCAAAGTGCATTGCAACACATGTGCGCTACCTTAGCGTGTTGGGGTGCTATTCATAATGAATGGCACCGCAGTGCTTCAGCTCATATAATGTGCACGTTAATATGTGTTCCTGCAACACATAGATGTAATTCAGCCCTAACAGGGACCCCTAGACAATAAACAGATGACAGGAGGTCTATCTCTTCTCTATACTCTGCTAAAATGTGGTGTCACTGCTGGGAGATCTGCCCCTGCTTCCTGGCTGAGTGACACATTGTCACCGGGACAGGAAGTGATGGCAAATCTCTGCAGAAGGGTCACAGAGAGTCCATTCTTTGTAAAGTGCTTTTGGCATTTTATAAGTCCCGTATAATAAGAATAACGACTGAATGAAATGTTTATTTAAAGAAAAGGAAGACAACTATGGTATCCAGTTTAGTAAATAGGCCTTGTTCCGCACGCCGTACTCACTGTAATGCTGGGCTGTACACACCCTCAGCACCATCATGTCCCGACAATACATGGCAGAAACCACATCCACCTACAACTGGTCATTGGTTTCTTAGTGACACAACAACATAACATGCTGGCTTCATACACCTCCAGGAATCTCCACTGGAATTCCCAAGTCAGCTGGAGGAAGAGACCTGCATGTTCACCTTGTGGATTTCCACTTAGCTTAGTGAATGAGATGAAGCTGTGCTGACTCAATCATCCAATCACGTGCCAGTAAACATCCTGTTTCTTTTTATTATTCCTTGCACAGAGTTGGGTATTCTTCTGATCAGGGATTGGCTATCCACTTAGAGCTCCTTTCACACCATAATGTTTCATTATCCTTCCATGCCCAACCATCCTCACATGCCTGACTATCCTTCCATGCCCAACCATCCTCACATGCCTGACTATCCTTCCATGCCCAACCATCCTCACATGCCCGACCATCCTCACATTCCTGACTATCCTTCCATGCCCAACCATCTTCACATGCCCAACCATCCTCACATTCCTGACTATCCTTCCATGCCCAACCATCTTCACATGCCTGACCATCCTTCCAAGCCCAACCCTCCTCACATGCCTGACCATCCTTCCATGCCCAACCATCCTCATATACCTGACCATCCTTCCATGCCTAACCATCCTCACATGCCTGACCATCCTTCCAAGCCCAACCATCCTCACATGCCTGACCATCCTTCCAAGCCCAACCATCCTCACATGCCTGACCATCCTTCCAAGCCCAACCATCCTCACATGCCTGACCATCCTTCCATGCCTGAACATCCTCACATGCCTGAACATCCTTCCATGTCTGACTATCCTCCCACGCCCCAGACCATCCTCACATGCCTGACCATTCCCCCACGCCTGATCATACTCCCATGCCTGACCATCCTTCTACACCTGACCATCTTTCAAAGGCTTGGCCATCCACCTGCGCCCGACCATCCATCCACGCCTGACCATCCTCCCACGCTGACCATTCACTTG